AAAATAGAAAGGGGAATAAGGAAAGATGATGCCAACGCCCTTGGATGCCCATGCAGAGTTCAATCTGAAACCCCCCACCCCACCCCCCTCCTTGAAACGCCCCATTTATGACACATTTGGTCTATATCTGCGACCCTAAGCAGTGGGAAGCTTTGTGCGGTCAGCGCCCTTTTTTTCGACCCAGTCTTGCTGGATGATCTTGTCTTGGGCAGTAAACATGAGCTTGTACGCCGTTCGAATCGTACCGTCGCTGACTTCGACAGCAGCACCAATCTCCTTTGGTGTCTTTGGATGGCCCATGATGTGCGATACGAGATAAAGACAGGCACCGGCGATGGAGAGCGGCGAGCGTCCAGCTGCAATGCCTTCGCGTGATACGACTTCAGCACACTGCTCGGCGACGATCTGGACATTGGTGCCAAGGCCAAGTTTGGCACAGGCGCGAGGCATGAGCATGGCAGCGCTGGTGCTCCTGTTCTCGTCGGTGGAGAGAAGATTGGTCGTATCCATGACCGCTCCGTTCCCTGCAACTGTGGGACCCGTCTTTTCCTTTTGAGTCTTTTGTAGATAGGCCTCGAGGGCCTTGAATGTGCGACCCACCTCCTTCTTAGATACGTTGGTCATCTTGAAAATCTCGCGGAAGCTGCGCTGTTGGCGATGCTGGCGACAGGCAATGAAGATGCAGCCGGCAATGATGGCGTCCTGCGACTTGCCCTTGAAGAGCTTGACATCATCCGTCATCTTGAAGAGGTATTTGGCTGTCTCTGCCGTAGTCTTATTGATGTTTTGGGAGTCGCACAGGGTACTGATCTGGCCATAGGCGGCCTGCAGTGCCTTATTGGCCTTGTCATGGTTCGACTTATTGTGTGCGCGCGACAACTCTCGCACTCGCAGGCCACCGTCTCCAAAGCCAATCTCGGTGGCCAGCTGGGAGCCGTGGAGCAGCGGGTTGGCAGCGTCACCGATACGAGAGGGGTCATCGTTGCCCTGGTCGTCGTTTGAGAAGGTACGCCACTCGGAGCGAGTGTCGATGATCCTGTCAGCGAGAACGCGGCCGCAGGAGCCGCAGATGGTGTCACCGGCGCTGAACTCTTCGACGAGGTTTGGGGGCGACTCCTGGCAGTCTGGGCAGATGAGGTGGACATTTAGGTTTTCCTGCCACTCCTCGTCAACGACGGGGGCAGGTGCCTCCTCGTACACCTCTCCAGGCGAGAGCAGGCGGCCGTCTGGAGCGTAAGACATGATGGAGTCAGTTTTGGGGAGGCAAAGGGTTGTTCTATATTCTCTATATGGTTTGCTATATGCAGGCGTGCGTCTAGAAAACTCGAGCGCGACCGTGTCCGTTTGGTAGGCGGGCGCAGTCGAGTGTAGTGTCGAGGACGAGAAATGGCAGAGGGGTGGGGAGGAGGGGGGGGGAGAGGTAAGTAAGAGGGAACAAGTGCTGAGGAGGAGGATGGGAAACCTTAGGCGCGGCCCCCAGGCGGCGACCGCCAAGAGGAGTGATGGCGCCAACCGCTTTCGTCCGCGGCTCGAGCTGTGGTTTTTGTCAATGGATCAACCGAACCTTTGATCCCGAAGCCTCCCATTGACAGCTCCCACATCTCAAGACATCAACACCATGATTGCGCAATCCATCAGGGCCTCGGTACGCTCCTCTCACCCATTTCCCATGGCATGCCACTGACCCCAAAGCAGCGCCAGGCGCTCGTACGCGCCGCCCGCCAGCAGCCATGCTACGTCGCCCGCCGCACCTTCATCACCCCCTCGGCCGTTCGCTCAGGTGACTTCATCCCCCATGCGCTCGCACCTGGCCAGTACTGACCCAATTGGTACAGCCGACCTGGTGCAGGACCTCTACCTCCGCGAGCTCAGGAACTACAAGGTCCCGCAAGTCAAGCCCACAGACGCAGAGGGCCACGTCCAGACCTTTACCATGCCCAAGGCCCCCGCTTCCCCCGAAGAGACGGACATTGCCAACGAGTTGAAGGCGTATGAGACGCAGGCGGTGGAGGTTGAAGGTGCATCTTCGAGCGAGGACGGCGCTGTGCTGCCGTCGGAGGACTGGTTCGAGGAGGAGGACGAGAGCATCACCACGCCCGGTGCCACGCACTAGAGGAAGAAGCATTGTCCATATGAGGGAGCATTTGTACCAAAAGACTAGCCATTGTGTCAATAGTACGGGGCAATAAAGCAATCATGCATCTCCGGTATATCCCCATGGAATACAAATCACGTGATATTGAGGCACGGCCCTCATAGGGTGTGGCCGTGGGCGGCTTGATTGAGAAAACAACGACCAGCCATCTACATGCATTTCATAGCAACGCACACAGTAGCATTCGGGAATCATCTTTGTTAGATGGAAAGGACACGACACAGACGTAACCAAGAGTGAGCGTCGCACTACTCTACAATGTCATGTTTTGAATATGCAGTTGATCGGATCCACGACAAGTGAGGACGGCTTGGGCTGGGAGTACGGTATACGTACGCATGGCTGCTGGCTGCGTTGATAAGGCAGGCGATGCATTATCGATGCAGCTCTCTGATTCTCGTCCGGATGGCAACAGCCGCGTGGACAATGCCAATCATTCAATGCACCGCTGCAGGCTGCACCCTTTGTCTACTTGCATTCTTTACACTCTACCTACCCAGAGAACCAGGTACATACGACGCATACATGATGCCATATAGAGTGCGCGCAACCGATGAAGAGGGACAAGACGGTAATCAGTGTGTCATGGACCCAAACAACGAATGAATGCCATTGTCAAGCTCATGGGCCTTTTCGAATTGGCCCTTGGTTTCTCCTTACCTACTCTACTCCACTCTCAGCACTGTCAGAGCAAAAGCCATCCGATGCTGCCGAGACTAGGTAGGTAATGGCATATTCATTCCATCATCGACGACGATGTCTTCGGTAACTTCTGGAGGGAAATCAGGAGACTGAGCACAGTTCGGCGGTGGGTTGTGGCATATGCGGACCTCAGCTCCATACGGCCCCCACCTGCTGAAGCTCGTTATCTGCGCAAGGCCGAGGAAACTCAAGGCGGCGTGGGTCTGAAACCATGCGCGGTTGGTTGTCGCTGACTGGCGTTCTGCAGGCTCAGCCGCAAGAAGGACGAGGCTGAAAAACGGAGCGGAAGACGGCTCACGCACACCGAACGGCTTGATTAGTGCATCTTGGTAGGTACCTATTGTGTCCGTGAGCCCACTGCTCAGCTGGTGTTTTGTACAGTAGTAGTCGCATCGAAGAAAAGAAGAAGGAGAAAAAAAAAGAAAAAGAAAACACTACATGCGACCACAACGACATTCGGTACGGCTTCGGCTTTCTATCGTCCTGTCTACTAAGTACGCCTCTTGCGATACACAGTGGACAGCGGACAGTGGACAGTGGACAATAGACGGTGGCCAGTAGGCGGTAGGCGCCGTGACAAGGTGGAGTCGTCCTTGGCCTGGAAAATGAAATCAAACGATCCATATGTTACTCGCTGCTAACGACCGGGAAGTCATCGGGAGATTGCAGTATTTTCTGGGGTGGAATCAAGATGTCGCGCACGCACGCTACGTGCAGGCAAGACTGGACTGGCACTGGCCATGGCCATGGCTACATATTGAGGGGGGGGTCACACTTGTGTCCTGGGCATAATGTACCTAATAAGCAACTGCTGCAGCGATGCAAAATAGGCGGCCGCGACACTGGCACTGGACAGACAGACAGACAGACAGACAGACAGACCGACAGACCGACAGATCGACAGACAGACAGACTGACCGACTGACAGACTGACATACAGATTTATAGACTGACATATAGACCGACACTCCTACCGACTGACGGATAGACACCCAGACCGATCATA